AAAGCCTTACCTGCCGCCTCTGGGCTGTCTGGAATGGAATATTATCCTGCAGGGGAGATGACTCTATGGAAAAGAGTCCTACCTACAAGAAAATCTAGTACTTGCCCTGTAGCGAAGCCTGTGAAAAACTGAAAGAAAGGAAGCTGGGGCTTAGTAATTAGAAGTTTGGTTTGTATGAGATTTCCTTTTTGGGTGTTTTCCCCTTCTATCCTGTTATACCATCATTATGTTTTAGTGTTTTATTTCCTACCTAATTGATAAGTTGCTTTAATATTAATGGCGTCGGGGCTGGGCACAGTGGCTCACGCCGTAATCCCAGCACTTTGGGAGGTCAAGCCGAGAGAATCACTTCAGGCCAGTTCGAGACCACCCTGGGCAACAAACACAGTAAGACCTTGTCTCTATAAAATATTAGTGAAAAAAAACCAGTAATAAGTTAAAAAATTCTTGCTGTTGGTGATCCAGTATGAATACCATTGACAGATTCACAGGGAAAAAGCAAAAAAACAAGGAGCAAACTGTTATTTCTTTTACCCACTTTCTATCATTTTGAGAAAGGAAGTCAGTAAAGCCGTTTTCTGTACACGGTCCTCTCCCCACTACCCATTCATTATGGTTTTTTGTTTTTTTTTGAGTTGGAGTCTCACTCTGTCGCCCAGACTGGAGTGCATTGGCCGGTCCTGGCCACCGCAGCCTCGACCTGCTGGGTTCCGGCGATCCTTCTGCCTCAGCCTTCCAAATAGCTGGAATTACAGGCATGTGCTACCACGCCCGGCTAGTTTTTTGATTTAATGTAGAGATGAGGTCTCACCCAGTTGCCCAGGCGGGTCTCAAACCCGTAGGCTCAGGCAATCCACTCACCTCAGCCTCCCAAGGCGTGGGATTACAGGCTGAGCCACCGAGCTCGGCTTCATTATGGTTTTTGCCAGCGAACTAATTATGCCTTTTATTTCATAATTAGAATCAGAAATAGGCGCCATTCTTGGCTTCGCTGATGCCCCACCTCCTTGCCAGGAACACAAAGGGTTAAATTTAAGGCTCACCAATGAGGGTGATGAAGAGAGGCCAGGGAGGGACAGTAGGTGGCCTTTCTCTTGTCCTGGTCACCGGCTCCTTTCACGCACCTCTGGCCGCCGACTCTGAACCTTTAACTGTATAGCAGGGGGAGCTTGCTTGCTTGCTTTCTTTTTGAGTCAGAGTCTCACTCTGTCACCCAGGCTGGAGTGCAGTGGCACACTCACGGCCACTATAGCCTCGACCTGCTGGGTTCAGGTGATCCTTCCACCTCAGCCTTCCAAGCAGCTGGAACTACAGGTGCGTGCCACCACACCCAGCTAGTTTTTGTGATTTATTGTAGAGACGAGGTCTTGCCAAATTGCCCAGGCTGGTCTCAAATCCCTGACCTCAGGCAATCCTCTCGCCTCAGCCTCCCAAAGTGCTGGGATTACAGGCGTGAGCCACCATGCCCAGCTGGGAGCTTTCTGAAGCTTTCTGCTCCGGACACATGTTGGCATGGCGCCTGAAAGGCCATTCCGTCCGTGGTGATTGCACCCCGGGGTGATGGATGTGAAGACTCCAGGTTTCGGTGGGCATTCGGGATGGTGTGAGACTCAGGGATCCGGGGAGCAGGTTGAGAGTGAGGCTTGGAGGAGGGCCTGGGGTGGAAGGAGGGCTGGCAGAATCCGTGGTGAGCATTACCTGATAATTTAAAAACGTGAAGAGGAATTTTATGTATCCAGTTTGTCATAAAACAGTCATATTAAAATGCACTTCTTTGCTTTGGTGCCTAGAAGGCCCTTGATACGTGTTTGTTGAGCTTATTTTTTTAAACCAGTGACATGTTTTTTGTGTGTGTGTATGTGTAGGTGTGTCACTGTCACCTAGGCTAGAGGGCTGTGACATACTCACAGCCACTGCAGCCTTGACCTACTGGGATCAGGTGATCCTTCTGCCTCAGCCTTCAAAGTAGCTGGAACCCCAGGCATGCGCCACCCCACCTGGCTAATTTTTTGATTTATTGTAGAGATGAGGTCTCGCCATGTTGTCCAGGCTGGTCTGAGCCCCTGGGCTCAGGCAGTCCTCTCGCCTCCACCTCAAATGCTGAGATTACAGGTGTGAGCCACTGTGCTCAGCCAGTGACATGTTTTCAACCTTCCGTCTCATAATTTGAGCCCCACAAATTACCCAGATTATGGTTGATGAATTTGAGAGTAGCGCTGCAAATTGTAGTACAATGAGTCATATTTTTTGGAAGGAAAATAAGGTCACAGAAACACTTGGTAGGTGTAAAAATCTCTTTAAACTCTCCATACAACTTTCCGTTGTTCCATTTCTTTTTTGTTTTCTTTCTACCATCATGTGAATTTGGGCAAATTGTTTTAACCTCTCCAGACTTACAGTTCCCTTAAAAAAAAAAAAAATTAAGGGATTGAATTAATTAGTCCTTAAGGCCCATTTAAGCTCTAAATCGTATTTATTTATTTATTTATTTATTTTATTTTTTGAGCTGGAGTCTCACTCTGTCGCCCAGACTGGAGTGCAGTGGCCGTTCCCGGCCACCGCAGCCTCGACCTGCTGGGCTCCGGCGATCCTTCCGCCTCAGCCTTCCGAGTAGCCGGAATTACAGGCATGCGCTACCACGCCCGCCTGATTTTTTGATTTATTGTAGCGATGAAGTCTCGTATTTATTTTAACACCTCACTAAATTGCTTTTTTTCAAGCAATGCAATAAAGCAAGATAAATAAAAATTTCCATATTTAAAAATATACATTTACCAGTTTTCAAATATAGGCTCGCTTATATTTTCATTGTAGTGTATACACCGTGCAGTGTCTGTATCCTGCCGAGCTTTAGAAATACTGTGGAAGCCACGTCATAGAAAAGCCACTTGTGTTCCCCTTGAACTGGTCAATGATCAAAGTCGAACGTCAGCCAATCAGAACTCCCTAATTTGCATGGCGGAATCCCCAGTGCGTGATGGGAATCTTTACTCTCACCCTAACCCAAAAGAAGGTCAACTCGGCTGGGAAAACACCTCAGGGAACTACCTCAGTGCATGCAGATACCTTAGGGCTGTCCTACCTGCTGTCTCCCTTATGGCAAACTCTACTAATGTACTGTTCTACTCTAATCTGGCTTTGTTACCTGTGTTGAGTATGACCAGGAATTTCAGCACCATAAGTGTCAGGTCACATGGCTTAAGCTATTCGGAAGTCGGTGAGATGTGAGTGCAAGTTCTGGCTGTGTGACCTTAGATGAGTTACTTGTTCTTGATAAGCCTCAATTTCCTCATTTGCAACATGAGTTACTTGTTCTTGATAAGCCTCAATTTCCTCATTTGCAACATGGAGATAACGATGTGCTTTATAAAGTTACTGTCAGGGTTACTTGAGGAAATGGCTGTAAGTTGCTTAGCACAGAGCCCATCCTGGGACATGCTTAGTACATGCCACCTCATGCTACCGTCTGAAAATGTGCCCTAGGTTCTATCAAGTCCACATTAAAAACATATTGTAAGATGTAACCTTTTAACCGGGCTCGGTGGCTCAGCCTGTCATCCCAGCACTTTGGAAGGCTGAGGTGAGTGGATTGCCTGAGCCCGTGGGTTCAAGACCTGCCTGGGCAGCGAGACCTCATCTCTACAATAAATCAAAAAATCAGCCGGGCGTGGTAGCGCATACCTGTAATTCTAGCTACTGGGAAGGCTGAGGCGGAAGGATCGCCGGAGCCCAGCAGGTCGAGGCTGCGGTGGCCGGGAGCGGCCACTGCACTCCAGTTTGGGTGACAGAGCAAGACTCCAACTCAAAAAAAAAAGATATAACCTTTTGTCATGTCTCGAGGACTCTTTCACTCAATAAACATGTATGGATAAATTAGTGACCAGAATGTATTCCTGATGGAAACGGATCTAAAACATTTCTTTTTCTTTACAGATCTTATATTGTACTTTAAACACACCAAAGGTTGACATGGAAAAACTCTTGGGAGGGCAGATAGGCCTGGATGATTTCATATTTGCCCACGTGAAAGGAACAAAAAAAGAAGTGAGGGTGTGTAAATCCGAAGACTCACTTGGCCTTGCTATTACAGACAATGGTGTTGGCTACGCCTTTATAAAGGTAAGCTGTAAAAAATAGCTGTGTGACCTAATTGGGGGCGACAATAAAAAAATCCACCCAGTCAAAGAAAGTTAGAAATGGTGTTTAGAGTGAGAGCTGGCTCCGTGGGAATGAATAGGTGGGTGATGTTTCACTTTCACTTAGAAACACGATCAAAGGCATCATTTTGTTGTTGTTGTTTACCACTTTCTCGATTTTCTTCCCTTAGACTTCCTCCAGAATTTAGGTCTCTAACTGCAAGGACAGTCTGGCCCGGGTGCTTACTTGTTGTTCACGTGAAAGCTTTTCTAGGTCTGTAGCTCTCACGTCTGATGACTTTCAGACTGATTTCCATTGAATTCGTGTTATTTCCAACTGCACGCACTTTGACAACCCTATTTGTTTCTTTCAAAATGCTCTCATATAGCCGGGCACAGTGGCTCACGCCTGTAATCCCAGCACTCTGGTAGGCGGAGGCGAGAGGATTATCTGAGCTCAGGGGTTTGAGACCTGCCTAAGCAACATGGAGAGACCTTGTCTCTAGAATAAATTGAAAAATTAGCTGGGTGTGGTGACACATGCCTGTGTTTCCAGCTACTTGAAAGGCTGAGGCGGAAGGATCCCCTGAGCCCAGCAGGTCAAGACTGTGGTGGTTGTGAGCTTGCCATTGCACTCTAGCCTGGGCACAGAGTGAGACTCCAACTCATTAAAAATAAAAATAAAAAAAAAATTTAAAAAGACTAGGCTCGGTGGCTCAGCCTGTAATCCCAGCACTTTGGGAGGCTGAGGTGAGTGGATTGCCTGACCCCGTGGGTTTGAGACCCGCCTGGGCAACTTGGCGAGACCTGATCTCTACAATAAATCAAAATGAACTGGGCGTGTGTAGTGCGCGCCTGTAGTTCCCAGCTACTTGGAAGGCTGAGGCGGAAGGATTGCCCGAGCCCAGCGGGTTGAGGCTGCGGTGGCCGAGAGCGACCGCTGCACTCCCATCTGAGTGGCAGAGTGAGACTCCAACTCAAAAAAAAAAAAGAAAGGCAGTTCTATTGTAGCATGTAGTTATAATAATAACAGCCAACTGATATTGATGCTTCCTATGAACTAAGGACTTTGTATACATGTTCTCATGTAATCCTCACCATTCTATTTTGTTATTTTGTTGGTATGTTTTTTATTCACTTTTTTGTTGAGGTGTAGCACATTTTTAGTGTGTAGCTTGATGAATGTTGACATACTCACTATGTCACCACCACCCAGATCAGAGGAAGTGGCATTTCTTTCTTTCTGTTTTTTTGAGTCAGTCTCTCATTTCTTTCTTTCTTTTTTTTTTGTCAGTCTCTCATTTCTTTCCTTCTTTTTTTTTTGAGTCAGTCTCTCATTTCTTTCTTTCTTTTTTTTTTTGAGTCAGAGTCTCTCCTTTCTTTCTTTCTTTTTCTTTTCTTTCTTTTTTTGAGTCAGAGTCTTACTCTGTCACCCAGGCTGGAGTGCAGTGGCACGCTGCTCACGGCCACTGCTGCCTCGACCTGCTGGGCTCAGGCGATCCTTCCGCTTCAGCCTTCCAAGGAGCTGGAACTACAAGCATGTGCCATCATGGCCGGCTAATTTTTTTGGTATGATTTATTGTAGAGATGAGGTCTCACCAGGTTGCTCAGGCTGGTCTCGAACCCCTGAACTCGGGCAAGCCTCTCACGTCCGCCTCTCAAAGTGCTGGGATGACAGGCATGAGCCACCGTGCCCGGCTGGAAGTGGCATTTTTGCCTCCCGGAAGGCTCCTATGTGCCCTTCCTTCCCAGTCTGTACTTTTCTGTGGCAAAATAGCCATTCTTCTGATTTCTGTTACCCTTTTCTTGCTCTTGAACTTCAGATGGACACTGCAGGTGCCACCCTGGCTTCTTTTGCTCAACAGAATGCCTGTGACGTTCGCTACTAGCACCTGCACTACAGATGCAGCAACCGGGTCAGGAAGGTTAAGCGGCTTGCCCAAAGTTACGCAACTGGACACATTGAGGATTTGAATCCAAGAGATCTGACCTCACAGCTGGCACGCCTGCTCACCGGGTCACACATTCATGATAGGCTTCATGCCACAGAGTGTAATTTGTGCCTTTATTCTGTCCAGATCAGTGCTGATGCAGTGTCATGATTAAAGAAGCCGTCCTGGGGAAATTATCTTCTGAACTGTAAATGGGTCCTTAACTTCCCACTTGGTAGAATGGCTATTTTTAGCTCTGTAAAAGATAGGACTGTGCTGAAGGTTGAGTGGTGACCAAATGGAAAATCTGTGACTTGGGAGAGTCATGTGGGATTATCCAAGGAAAGCTCAGGACAGGGGGCCCATGCAGGGGGACGGGCTGGGGAGTCTCGCAAACGTGCGTGGGTTTTTTAGCACTCAGCCTCTGACCTTCAGAGTAGTGCTTCTATTTCTTGAATGCTTTGTCAAACATGTACCTGCCTCAGAGGATGAGTCACTAGCCTGGAGGAGACCTACCATGTGGCAGCAAAGAGAAAGTGGAGCGTGATCTCACCTGCTAACGACATAGAGTTCAGCTTACAAGAGGCAGATGTGTCAGACTGTGTACATGGTTGGTGAAATTTTTTAAAAAGCCGGGCACAGTGGGTCACGCCTGTCATCCTGCACTTTGGGAGGTGGAGGCGAGAGGATTGCCTGAGCTCAGAGGTTCGAGACTAGCCTGGGTAACTTGGCGAGGCCTGGTCTCTGCAATAAGTAAAAAAAATGAGCTGGATGTGGTGGTGTGTGCCTATCATTTGAGCTACTTGGAAGGCTGGGGAAGATCAGCTGAGCCCAGCCGGTCAAGGCTGCAGTGGCTGTGAGCACTCCGGCCTGGGTGACAGACTGAGACTCTTACTCAAAAAGAAAGAAAAAAAAATTGGTGATGAAAGCCAGGTACAGTTGCTCATGTTTGTAATCCCAGCACTTTGGGAGACCAAGGCAGGAGGACTACTTCAGTCCAGGAGTTCGAGACCAGCATGGGCAACAAAGCAAGATTTCATCTCTACAAAAAATTATAAAATTAGCTGGGCATGGTGGTGCCCGCCCATAGTCCCAGCTACCTGGGAGACTGAGGCAGGAGGATCATCTGAACTCAACAGGTCAAGAAGACTGCAGTGAGCTATGATTGTGCTGTTGCATTTCAGCCTGAGCAATAGAGTGAGACTGTGATTAAAAAAAAAAAAGATAATTGGGGATAGAGATAACTTCAAAGTTATGGAACGATTTCAATAATAATACAAATAACTCCTGCACATAATTTACTAAATCTCCAATTTTTACCTTTTACCACATTTGCTTTTTTATTCTCTCTCAAACACCCACCCACACTCTTAATGCTAATACTTCAGAGTATAATTACTTAGAGCAAGGATGGACTCATATATAACTGCAGTACATTTATGAAATTCAGAGAATATGGCCGGGCTCGGTGACTCAGTCTGTAATCTCAGCCATTTGGGAGATCGAGGTGAGCAGATTGCCTGAGCCCACGGGTTTGAGACCAGCCTGGGCAGCTTGGTGAGACCTCATCTCTACAATAAAAAAAAAAAGAAATTCAGAGAATCTAATATTGATATAATACTTTTATTTTTGTTTGTTTGTTTGAGTTGGAGTCTCACTCTGTCACCCAGACTGGAGTGCAGTGGCCGCTCCCAGTCACCGCAGCCTCGACCTGCTGAGCTCCGGCGATCCTTCCGCCTCAGCCTTCTGAGTATCTGGAACTACAGGTGCGTGCTACCACGCCCGGCTGATTTTTTGATTTATTGTAGAGATGAGGTCTCACCAAGTTGCCCAGGTGGATCTCGAACCCGCGGGCTCAGGCAATCCACTCACCTCAGCCTCCCAAAGTGCTGGGATTACAGGTTGAGCCACCGAGCCCGGCTTGATATAATACTTTTAAATTAATCAATTAAAAAAACCAACAACAGGCCAGGTACAGTGGCTCACGCTTGTAATCCCAGCACTTTGGGAGGCTGAGGCAGGATTGCCTAAGCCTAGGAGTTTGAGACCAGCTGGGCAACACAGAAAGACCTCGTCTCTAAAAATAAAAAAAATAAACAACAAAAAAACTAATCTATTGTCCATATTGCAGGTTTATCAGTTGTCCTAGTAGTGTTCATTATTTTCCCTGTATGGGCTCAATCTAGGAGCATACATTTTATTTATTGTCATGTCTTTTTTTCTTTGAGTCAGAGTCTCACTCTGTCACCCAGGCTGCAGCGTAGTGGCACTATCATGGCTGCCGCAGACTTGACTTGCTGGGCTCAGGCAATCCTTCTGCCTCAGCCTTCCCAGTAGCTGGAACCATAGGCACACACCACCACACTCGGCTAATTTGTAAAAATTTATTTTAGAGACAAGATCTTGCCATATTTCCTGAACTGGTCTTGACTCCTGGGCTCAGGCAATTCTCTCACCTCTGCCTCCCAAAGTGCTTGAATTACAGGTGTGAGCCACTGCACCCAGGGGATTTAAAAAATTTCTTGTAGAGCCAGGCTCAGTGGCTCAGCCTGTAATCCCGTGCCTTTGAGAGGCTGAGGTGAGTGGATTGTCTGAGCCCGCGGGTTCGAGACCTGCCTGGGCAGCGAGACCTCATCTCTACAATAAATAAAAAAATCAGCCGGGCGTGGTAGCGCATGCCTGTAATTCTGGCTACTCGGAAGGCTGAGGCGGAAGGATCACCAGAGCCCAGCAGGTTGAGGCTGCGGTAGCCAGGAGTGGCCACTGCACTCCAGTCTGGGCAACAGAGTGAGACTCCAACTCAAAAAAAAAAAATTTATTGTAGAGACAAGGTCTTGCCATGTTGCCCAGGCTGTTCTGAAACTCCTGGGTTCAGGCAATCCTCTGGCCTCCACCTCCCAAAGTTCTGGGATTACAGGCATGAGCCACCATGCCCAGCTTTTTTAGTTGTCTTTAATCTAGAATAGTTCCTCAGTCTTTTATAGCTGACCCTTAATTTGGATTTTTCTGATATTTCCTCAGACTGAAAAATAAGTTGTGCATTTTTGGCAAG